TAGAGGGATATACCCAACTTGCACACGAAATCACTCACTACGAAAGAAAAAAAATTGGCAGCGTGCATCATCCCCCAATGAAAAGCAGGGGTGTCACTAGACGTTAAAAACCTACAAAAAGTGTCAGGGGCCCGAGCGTTCAACTGCCTCCCCGCCCCAAAAGGGGGGTTTCCAACGAACCCCGGGGTCTTCAGCTGGCACTGGACAAGCACCTAAAAATCAGTTCTGATCAGCCGGGCGTGGGTCGACGTTTGGGTTTTCGTGCAGCCAGCAGCAACAGCCGGTTGATAGGGGCTGATCCACCCGGAGGCCTGGGCACAGACCCGGGCCGCGGGGGCGTTGGACCCCGAAATTTCCCGTACTCAGTGGGCAGCGTCACGTGAGGTACGACCCTGAGCTGCCCTTGGGGGTTTGTGTGGACGGTTCAAAACTGGCTTTTCTTCGCGTGTTTTAAAAATTGAGGTTGAAGTTGAAGGAGGGGGTTTGCTTCCAGGGGGGATTAGGAGGCTGAAGGTCCACCTCAATGGGGCGGGGGAGAGTGGAGGTGGCGGAGTTGTGGGATGAGGTTTAGCAGCGAGGTGCGTCTTCTCTCGCGGAGGAGGCTGATCTGAAGGTGGGAAAATCGCTTTTTTGTTCTTCGGATGAATGTACTTCATTGGCCAGTAAAGGTTTGGGGTTTTATACTCCCCCTGAAAAATGGGGGGAAAAGCGATTCTTGTGGTTGGTGCCCCTCAGGAAAGATACTTTGGGACCGGCTTTTTGTAATAGGAATAAGAAGATGAGGGAAAAGAGTTTGCTTCCCGGGGAGCTGGTGTTGGGGAATGGCAAACAGGCTGGATTTTTTCCCATGTCAGGTAATGGGAGCAAGCCCATTATCTGTCTATTTGGGGTGGAAATGATTTTGGGAAGGGTAGGAGAAAAAGAGCTGCTGATAATTTCAGGCCCAGTTTATAGATTTCATTAAGTCTAAGGGGGGTTCCCAATCTTATGTGTCTTCCCTAAAAGGGGAAAGTAGGAAAGGGTTTGGTTGTCTAGGGAAATTTGGGTTTGTAAATTGTGGCTAGACAGAAAATGAAAGGGAAATGAAAAACCCAAATTTTTGCAACGGGAAACAATTTTAGGGGAAAACCTGATATGTAGGAAAAGGGATGGGGTAAATTCTCTTTTTGGGGCTGGGGGGTTTAGCCCCTTGCAGACTGGGTTTGAGGGGGCCATTGGTGAAATCCCTTTGTTTTTAAAAAACTGATGGAAGATAGGGTAGGGTTTTGTGTGTGGTGGAAAAAGCAGGTTAAAAAACATTTGGGGTTGGGAAAAAACATTTAAATGTAAAAAAGGCATCCCCTGAATTTTTAAAATAAAGAATAGATCGGGTCAGCAAACAAAGGGGGACAGCAGAGGGCAGAAAGGGACTAGCCCCCTTAAGGTTTACTATAAAATTTCCCAGGGTGTAAAAAAATAAGATAGAGAGCTAAGATTAATTGAAAATCCCCAGGAGACATAGATTTTTGCTATACAGGACCGGGCCCTGATCTAAAAGATAGAGAGATGCCCTCTAAAATGTCACATCAAGGCAAATTAAATTATTCCACACTGACAGGGTAAACGGGAAAAGGTGGGGAGTGGGCGATGTATGTCGAGACAATTTAAATTTTGTGTTAGCAAAATTTTAAAATTAGAAAGGGGCAGCCCCTGAATCTGTTTGGTTACAGCTTCTCGGGGCCGGAAAAAATAATTTTGGGGGTGATTTACGGGCCCCCAAAACTTTATAGGGGTGCGTAAATTTTATGGGACGAAATTCGTAAGGCATCTCATACGAAAATTTTTGTTTCTTTAAAGGGGGATTTTTAACATAGGAAGAAATTTACTGGGGCAATTTGACAGGAAATTTAGGGGTCAGGTGCTTCTTTATACGATCCCGGATTGTTTTTTTAAAAAAAGTTTGTGACAGAGCCCAAATAGGGGGAAAAAACCTCCTTTACTTTGGGTTTTTGCCAGTTGGGAAAAACAAAAAAATTAAACTTGGGGGTTAAAGATGGTTGGGGGAAAATGATCACAAATCACTTTAGTTTTAAATTTTCATGGAAAATTTCCCCCAAAAATGGCAATCAAGTCTCCGTCCCTGACTTTCGTTGGCTGATTTTTATAGGGGCTGAAAAAATTTCCTTTGGTGGGCTGAACTGGAAAGGACCTGACTAAGGGGCAGGTTTGGTGGTGTGGTTTGCCGATATGATGCTTTCCCGGGGATAGTTCTAGTGCTCAGTCAAATTATGTTCCAAAAAAGGGGGAAAACGATCAAACAAAAAATGATTTCCCAAAAGGATGAACAAAAGATTAAAAATTTTTGATTGGTAAAAGAGAGGCATATATGGCCCAAAACAAAAGAGGAGAGGGGGCCCAATTTAGAAAACGATATATTCAGGGTTTAAAAAGAGAAATAAAAAAGGGGGAAATTTGAAAAGAAAAAAAAATTATGAGGGTTTAAATTGCAAGAGAAACGAAGACTAAAACCCAAAAAGGGTTCTTTCAGGTATACGAAGTAAAAACCCGGGACAAGATAGGCCCATTTAAAAGTTCCTCGGGTCAGCTCATGAAAGTGATAAAGGGAAAAGTTTTAGAATTTTTAAACCCCAAAACTTCCCCTCAGTTTTTACACAGGAGGATACCAGCGAATTCCAAATAATGATAAAAAAAGTAGAACAAGGACGATAATAAATGTGTATTTTAGGGTTCCCCAAATGACATGGT